AATTAGCAAACAAATTAATAAATTTGAAGATAGGTTGAGAGATCAGGCAATCCAGAGAAAAGAGTGAACAAAAATGAAATAAGCCTCAGGGAAATATAGAACACTAGTAAGTATACCAACATACAAGTATACATAACAAGTACACCAGAAAAACTTAAAGGGGAAAAACACAAATCAATGAAATAATTTATGAAAATTCTTGACGTTCATTAAAAATATAATATACATTCAGAAAGTTCAACAAACTTCAAGTAGAAAAAAAATGCAAAAAGATTCACAGACACATAAAAGTAAAAACAACTAATAGCCAAAGACAAGTGGAAAATTTTCAAAGCAGCAAAAGAAGTAAAGGACTCCTTAGTAACAAGGGAACCCTGAGATTAACAGCAGACTTCTTAGCAGAATCAAAGCAGGCAAGAAGGGAGTGGTATAACATACTTAAGATGCTCAAGATAGTCCAGCAAAGATCCTATATCCAGCAAAGATATTGTTAAAAATAAAAAAGAAATAAAAAATATTCTCATTCAAACATAGATTGGGAGAATTCACTGCTAGCAGAACCACCTCACAGGAAATAATAAAGGAAGTCCTTCAGACTAAATGTGGGTAAAACCAGACTGTAATTAAAATACATATAACCAAAACAATAAATATATACTGGCCCTTGTTTCTTTTAGCTTCTTTCAAAATACACAAAATTGGGACCAGCAGATGGCGTGGTGGTTAAGGCATGAAACTCCCACATGGCTGACTGCTGCTCAAATCCTGGACTTGGTGGCTTGAGCCTCATGCCAGGCATGTGTCTGTACATGCTCAAAATCCCAAGAGGAGAATGGAGGAAAAGGAATTGCAGCATGTCCTTTCCTCTAGGGGATGATTTTCCCTCTCTCTGTCTTTCTCTGACTCTCTCCAGCGAACATATGTGCTCTATGGCAAAAAAAAAAAAAATAAATAAATAAATAAATAAACAACAACAACAAAAAACACACACATACAAAATTGTGCCAACTGGTGGCATTGTGGTTGAGGCGGCTAGCTATCACATGCCCAATTGTACAGTTCAAGTTCTGGACTCAGCAACTTGAAAATCATGCTAAGCATGTATACACATGTACCTAAGTCCCATAGGGAGGGAGAGATGGAGAAGAGAGGATTGCCACATGACCATCCCCCATGGAGGGTCTTTCTCACCCTCTCCACTCTGGCAAATACACCTGCCCTCTGGCAAATTAGGCAAAAAAAAGAAAATTTAAAAAATATGAAATTATATAAACTAACAATGACAAGGTATTAAGATTGTAACATTTATAATATGCATAAAAATAAAACAAAGGAACTGGCACTGTAGCCTTGTGGTTGAGGGAACTAGATTCCACATGGACAACCATGTGGTTTGAGTCTTAAACCCTGAAGCTTGAAAACGTTTCATACACGTGTGTGGATGCCCAAAAATCATGACAAGATGGAGAAATAAAAAAGGAACTATAGCATGACTATTTCCCATTGTGGGGATGATTTCTCTCTCTCGCCTTCTGTCTCTCTCTAGCAAACCTATACACCCTCTAGCAAATTAAAAGGAAAAAAAAATAAGTAAAACAACAAAGAGAAGGAGAAGGAACTAGAACTATACATGTTCTATACCTCACAAGAATTAAGTTACAAAATGATGGAGCTAGCAGGTGGCATAGTGGTTAAGGTGCTGCACTCCCACATGGCCGACTAGAGTTTGAATCCCAAACTCAGTAGCTTGAAAATCATGACAGGCACATGTGCATGCATGCCCCAAATCCCAGGAAAATAATGGAGAAGGGACTGCAGCATGGCCATTCCTCTTGAGAAGGAAGGTGATTTTTCACTTTCCCTCTCTCTGTCTGTGTCTCCCTCCAGTGAACACATGAACCCTATAATAGCAAAACCTTGAAAAAATAGTTATAAAATTATAAGAAAAAGAACATATGAGTAAATCTTTATAACCTCAGATTTGGTAACAGATTCTTAGATATAACACCAAAAGTATAAGCAAAAAAAGAAAGAAATTTAACTGCATCAAAATTTAAAACTTGTACCAAACTCATAGACTAGTGTTTAAGGGAACTGAACCCTACAAGGCTGCCATGACCACAGTTAAAATCCTGGCCACGGAAACTTGAAAAACACAGTATGTACATGCCCAAAATCTCAACAGGATGCAGAAATGGAGAAGGAATTGCAACATAACCAAGCCCCATTGGGGGTGCTTTCTTTCTCTCTGTCTCTGGTGAGTACACATGCTCTCTGGCAATATTTTTTTTAAAATGAAAATCTTGGGACCAGCAGATAGCAAAATGGTTATGTCACTGGACTCCCATGTAGTTGATCGTGGTTCAAGACCCAGACCTAGTGGCTTGAAACTCATGCTGGGCGAATGTGCATGTGTCCCCCATATCCGAAAAGAAGGGATTGCAGCATGGCCATCCCCTCTGCCGGTGGGGGGGGGGGGGGTTTTTCCCTTTTTTGGT